AATTCCAATCAACGGATCGCGGCTTCAAGCCTCGGGATAGGAATGAGGCTTTGATGGAACTATCAAGGCAATGATTTTCCTTTTTAGTCTTCCTTCTTTATAACATTGGCCTGTGCGAACAGTAAATAAGAAAAACCTTGCTTATTCATTTAACTGTCTTAGTCTTATGGGTGTCCTCAGCCATTAATAAAAAGGACAATAGAAGGCAGGAGTCGTGGTTATTTAGCCTATAAGTCGTCAGTTTAGACTCATCCAAAAAAATTCTCATGGAGATGGATTAGTTCAAGGATCGTCATTTGCATGTGTGGTAACTTTCGTCATGGTACTCTAATTCCTTACTTTAACTAAAAGCATCATTATCGTGACCAAGGTTGTCTGCGACCGTAGTCTGCATAGTCCACAAAGGAAGTTCCTCGTGGCTTTTCTTAAAGCCTGGAGGCATTTTCATCACCGAATCATCCATTTAGCGAGATATGCAGATAAGCAGAAGTTCAGCTCAGCTTCCGTCCTACTCATAAGATTATAAATGTTCCCTTTGAAGCATAAAATATTACCCACATCTATGGCAAAACCTTTTTCATCTTCACATGGTTACCTCTGATGAAGGATTCTCAACAGATTCCGAAACTACAGGACGATAAACTTCAGGTTCCAGCGATCGTACCTGCTAGTTCTGTACTTCTGAAGGGTACAACCCTTTATATTTTTCTCCGTTCTTTTTTTTCTATAAAACATATACGGATTTATAGCAATATCGAAAACAAACTAGAAAATAAATACTCCTGCAGTAGCCTTTTATGCAGAACACGCTTTGTTGTCTCTTATAACTGTCCTTCCTTCTATGTAACGAACTCTTTGGTTTTACAGGGTCGGTGTACGGGTCTACACAAACAGTGGTGCCGGAACCACGGAACTTTCGGAGTTCAAGACAGCCCGTAAGTTTGTTTGTCTTTCTCGATTGGGTTTCCACTAGCCTTCGGCTTTTTAGTGAGTTCATTATTTTTTCAAGAAACCTTCTCCGTGCATGTGTGCTTTCCTCCAACAGCAAAAGCCAGAGGTAGCACACGTTTCTCCTCTTCGAGGCAAAAGCTAGGTGTGATTTATGCAGCCATCCTCTGTTGCATAAGAAGGCCGGTGCGGAACTCGGGAGAGACAACAATGGTTGTTTGTAAACTGGCATTTAATTTGTTTTGTCGTACGCTTGGGTCGTAGAATGAAAATGGACAGGAATTGGTGATCTGTGTCAGAATGCAGACCATTACCAATGAATTTAAGCTGGCTGCTTTACTGTCAGCGGTACCTAGGTTATTATTGTTTTACCTTCGCAAAACCCCAGTTGCACATTCTTACAGTCAGCTGGTCATAAGAGGAACATTAGTTCAATGTTTTTTTTTATTTAATTTTGACAAATTAATGTCTGTCGATAGCCCTGATATTTATTCTGATTTAGGTGGGTCAATTACAATTCCTTTGTCCCTACTGTTCATGTTCTGTTGCTTCTTGTTTACCAGATGGGCTCCATTTTCACTTTGATTATTTTTAATGATGAGGAAATTGATTATATCAGAAGTCTGCTCATAGAGAAAGGAACTAGTTCTTTCCAAATAATAGCGTATAAATTGTCCTCTAGCGATTGAGAGCAGGCTAAATATCGGAACTCCATTACAACTTTTTTCCTCAATAGCCTATGGGAATTTAAATTTTTCTAATATGTATGGGGTGACCGGTTGCAATAACTATGATAGCGGGTATTCGCAGTATGGGTCTTTATCGTCACGAGACTCAGTCGCAGCCGACAGGTCAAGAAGCTCGTAGCCAAGTGAGTTAGATCGTTGGACTTCAGCTTCCAATATATCGTATTTAAACCCCCAATTGATTCCTACATGCATTCATTTGCTTTTAGCTGCCCCAGTCAATATCGCCCTTGTTGTTGGCATTATCTTAGCCTTTCTCGTCATACTCGTGGTCATCGCTTTGGCCGTTCACTTTTTCATGCGCCAGAGAGGCCCGGACCCGAAGAGGTAAGCAATAACTTCTGAGGCACCTATGTCTGTGTTCATTATCCGTCTATCCAACTTTGGAAATAGTTTTGCTGATGAAGGTTATAGACTGCTGTTTCAAAGACTGAGTGCATATTTACTTTAGGACCAAGTACATAAGGTTAGATAATGTAAATTGCCATTCAAATGAAGTGGAGGGGGCACCCGTTATACGCTTACATGCCACGCTAGAAGTGTCAACTGAAACGTATATCAGGTCTCGGAGAAAATTGGAAGTGTTCGCTTTAGGTTTTTGTAAGGCAGCTGTGCGGAATTCAGAGGAGGGATTTAGGCCCACAAATCTGATTTTTAAAATATTCCCATGTTTCATCAGCACATGCGAGTGTTGACAATGCTCGTCTTCAGAGGTAGCAGAGTTATAGTTTACAACACAAAAACATCCAGTTTAATTTTCTGCTAAGAAAGTGTTTATGTTAAGTACACTTTCATTTGGCTTTTGTGCTACCTAATACGAACCTTTCGAATCTTTTGGCACCATTAATACTGCACTTGCTGTGAATGTTCATTGCACTTGCGGATTATGTCATTTTCCGTTCTCCTTACATCTTCAATT